CAGAATTGAGCTCCGCGAGCCCTCTTGACGGGACGCGGGGGGACACGTGGGGGTTCTTGATCCTATCATACCCTCTCTTTTTCTCGTCGATCACGGTCCAACCAGCTGCAACACAATTTCTCCTGTGTAAATTGGTCGGCGGCCTTGCTTTCGTGTCGCGCGTTCTTTGTTGCCCTCGACGGCCGTCGCTGCTGTTGCTGCTGGAGCGTCCCGGCTTCCCCCTTGAAAGGCGGGTTTGACAAGGCTAGAGCTGTTTCATCTATATGTGTATGGCTGACGCTATTGCTACATAGTAGTGCTTCACGACCTGCGAAGTCGCAACCCTCGCTCGCCACGGCCTCCATAGCCGTGTGAGATTTTCCCCCAACCTCTCTCTTGGCATGCAGAACTAAGATTTACCCTCCCTCCCCACGGCCTCGATAAGCAACCTTGTGTCACCACGCTTGTCACGAAACTGAACCGCCACGCTCCCCCAGTGCTGACCGCCCGGTTGATGAGTGATGTTGACCGCTTCGCGCCGCCGGCCTCTCTGCTGCTGCCCGCAGCCGGTCCTGAGCTTCCTCGCCAAGCCCTTCACGGGCAAGCAGTACGACAAGATGTACTTCTTCGACCCCATGAACATCAAGGAGCCGGGGGACTACACCTGGGTGAGTGGTGAAGGACACCCTGCCGAAGGGCCTCCTTTCTGCTCGTTGGGGTCGCTGGGCGGACTGCCTACGTGAAAAGATTAGGTTGAACTATTCTATACGGAGTACAGCGGAAGGGGTTTACGTAGCCCGACCCTAACCCCCACCTCCCAAATTCCACCGATTTAACACGTTATCCCGATACGATTGCTTCATTAGTACACCGGCGCAGGCAACTGCGTTGGGCACAGCAGCAGTAATTTCAGTAATTTCTACCTCGGTAAAGCTACCTGCAGTGTCATTTCCTGTATGAACGGGTAATTACACGGGAGTACCAGTAGCTTCTAGTCTTTGAGGGTCGTTGGACAACAGAGTAATAGTTCGCGACATCGACAAACCTACCGCCAGTTACCTGCTTCTCCTAGCAGTCGTGTTTTGTGTTTTCGTCCTATTTATTATGGCGACAGTCCGCCCGTTGTTCGTGGTGAGACGTGTACTACACTTTCAGCGTATGTAGAGTACTACACTTTTCAGTGTACTTTTTCGTACAACTACAGCCATCCAGGGTCACACGTAGACTCGAGAGTCCGGCGGCTTGACGTTGGATACAGCAGCAGTAGGCTTGACGGCGGCACCCTACCACGTGCAAGAACGTGGTCGCTTAACAGTGTCGTCATGGCCTGGTGTGAGCGGGTAATGGAGATGACTGTTCCCGTAGCGTCCCTAGAACGGTTCCGGGTCGTTGGATACAGCAGCAGCAGCCTCGACCTCGATAAACCTGCCTCGAGGCACCCGTTCGTCACCGTATATGTGTTGGCCTTCGATTTTATTTTTTGATGTTGATGAGAGTATACAACTTCGGCGATAAGCTTCTTCAGGCGTCGGACTCGAGCTTGTTCTGGCGTCGGACTCGGTGTGAAGGTGTCGAAGTGGAGATCCTTCCGACGGTAACAATAGCACCGTCCGCGAGCAAACATGGCCTTGGTGTTCAACTGCCACCCCTGTTGGAGGCACGGTGCTCTATTTGTAACTTGCCGGTTCCCCGCCGAACACGTCCTTGATACCCCTGATGCTATCGTTTGTGGGGACCCCGAAATGTCAAGCATGTCGCACATACCACGGTAGAGGGTATGACAAATTTATATGCGCGTCAAACTTCACCTGCAGAGAGGAAGTGGCGCTGGAAGATAAATCAAAAACGGAGATGACTTGACTTGACTGGAGGAAAACGTTGTTCCGACGGCTGGCTCATTCGAATCTCAACGTCAACGCAGACGGTGGCTATTGCGAAGGAGGGCGCCTCGATCAAGAACAAGTCCGAGAGGCTCCTGTCCGTGACATGCAACATCACGGTCCTGCCCGGCAACCCTACCAAGTCCTTCCTAGAGGGGGATGACTGGGATGTGGTGAGCTCTAGATGCAGGCGGCGGGGGGGGGGGGGG